CTCAGAGAACATGTCAAGGAAATCTTGAAGAAAGACATAGGTGTGAAGAAACCCAGAAGGTAATCTGAAAAATCTCTTAAGCTGATGTTTTCGCTATTTTCGAACCTCTATTGCGTTTTTCTCTAAATATTTGAAATATCTCAATAATAATTTCCCATGGTCTATTTTGAGTTTAGTATTCTATTTGTCTTTTGTAATTAGACCTTCGTGAATTAAAAAGACAAGGAATGTTAAAACGCACATAAAAAAAAAAATAATGATCAAAAATAAAATAATTCAAGATGCGTTTAGGAGCTTGTCTAAAAATTAATTCACAAGTTTCTTTTGATTGTGTCTAGAAAACCATTTGTTAAACTCATCTTAGCTTTGTCAAATAAAATTGAGCAAAATGATTATTTTTCAAAGACTTAAAGCCAATGACTGAGTATAGGTTTTGACATTATCAAAAGGGGGGAAATTGTTAGGAATAAAGTGTAATGGTTTTGATATGCCAAATATGTATTTGTAGAACACCCAATTTTATTTTATAGGTCTAGTAGAGTCTTAGACCATGATCGGGAAATTATTTATGTTGCAAAAGAGAAAAACAGGGGAAGATATATGAAAATAGAAGAAGAAGATATAAAGCCTAAAATCAAGAATTTGTCTGGAAAAAATGACAAATTGAAGAAGATGATGAATGATATGATTTTCACGTCGCTACTACTCAAAAAGATATCCCAGAAGAATTTTTGTTTAAGAAAATTAAGTTTGGAAGATTGCATGAATTTAACTTGGAGATCAAGCATCTATGGAAAGAAGGGAGTACATCAAAGATGATTGGAGATATAACCAATAGACCGTACGGATGAGTTGGAAAATGCCTGATGTATTATACGAAATGGCTTAAGTTTGAATCTCACCATCAATAATTTTACAAGGTAAAATTTGAGAAGCCAAAATTAATTAAGCCTGATGGAGTTGGGCGCTAGTTTGGCTTTGGGCATCAATTACAAGTGGAAAAATATTTTACACCAGGAAAATATTTTCGAAGTCAAAGTCAAAGTAATTCAAATTGGGAAGCAATTGAAGCACTAGGAGAAGTTTGGGTGCCAATTACGGAGAAATAAGCACCAGGAGAAGTTTGGGTGCCAATTACAGAGAAATTCAAATTGGGTGCCAATTACAAGTCAATTGCAATTGGGTGTCAATTACAATGGAGAAATTCAAATTGGGAGGAGTTCAAAGCTAGTACACCTAGAAGTGAGAATGAAGAAGATGAAGAAAAACAGTGAAAAATATTCTTAGAGAAAAAAATACTAGTCTAACTAGTATAGGATTAAATTGAAGAATATTTTTGAAGCATTTAAATCCCAAAGAAACAAGAATCACTTTAGAGCTGATCAGAGAAGCCATTCTACACAAAACTGAGATCCAGATATTCCCAAGAAACGTGAGAACACCAGAGGAATATCAGATGAAGTTTGGGAACTCATTTGCATGAAGTTGAAGCTCTACAAATGGCTAGCTTATCTTTTCTGACACTTTGCCAGAAGATAAGATAAGATCTCTGACAAAAAGATATAAGAATTCAAAAATGAGATCGTCTCTTTCCAATGGGCAGATCCTCATTACCAGCTATAAAATGATGAAGATATGAAGACTTGAAGATAGAGCAAAAGAGCAAGACATACGAACAAAAAACATACCAAAAGAAATCTTCAAGTGAGAAAAGAAAAAGAACTCAGAGCTTCAAAGAGAAATATTCTGAGAGTTAAAAAAAGCAGAGCTAAACAGAGCATAAATATCAAGTGCTTTACTTGATACATTCAAAGAGAGAAAACACTCAGAGCTATCACGAGAAAATCACTCAAGAGTGTCAAATCTTCATCAAAGAGACCTGCATCACATTGAAGATCATCTACAGAGTCTCAGAAGTTGGAAGCAAGAAGAAAACTTGTCTCTGTACAAGTGATATTCCTACGGGGGTGTAGGAAGGGAGGAAAGTAGCACGAAGCTGTGAAATCCTGGATTGTCACACGGAGCTGTGAGATCCAAAGCAGTAGTGTTGGAGACACTGGGCGTGATTAGTGCGGGCTTTGTGATCAAAGCACTAGATCACGGGATACGTTTCTACCAGAGCGTGGAAGATGGGGGGAAAGTAACGCGGAGTCGTGAAATCCTGGGATAGTAGCACGACGACGTGAAACCTGAAGCAGCAGTGTGGTGTCACTGGGCGTGATTAGTGCAGGCTTGGTGATCAAAGCACTAGATCTCTGAATTCATTGTATCTTGGAACCAAGAAGTGGTGGATATAGTGAATTGCTCTTGGAGATAAGAGCAAGTGGAGTAGGAGGATTACACCACCTCCGAACCACTATAATTGTCTTGTGTTCTTTACTACTTTATTTACTTACTGCTCTTTACTTGCTTGTCACGAGATATACTTGTCACAATCTCACACACACTTTATCTTTATTTATTTCCATTGCGTATCATACTCTAACAATCTAGTTAAGAGTTTTGGTTTCTCTATGCCTTAGCAATTGTTGTGCTGTGCGAAAAAGCTTGAAAGTCAATTCACCCCCCCCCCCCCCCCCCCCCCTCTAGACTTTCACCTTACCTCTTTTGGGACCAACAGAGGCAATCTCACATTCCATTTCAATAGCTAAAAACTTAACGTGGAGGTTATGAGACATTACCTAGGAAAATTACATAACCTAAACCAAACATGATAATCTTATATTCCCAAGCAAACACCCCTTAAAAGTTTGAATTGAATACAAACTTTAAGAGGGTGTTTGGTTCAAGTTATACAATATAACCAAGGGTATGTGATATTCTAAAGCTTACATTCTCATGTTTGGTTCATGTTATCTTACTTTTCTAAGGAAATATAACATTCCCAAGAAATGCAACATACCGTCCCCCCCACATAGGATTTTGAAGGAAATGTGATACCCTCACGATTCGTAGATTATCTAAGATTACTATGTATATTTACTTATAATTATATATTTTATTTTATATTATTTTATTTTGAAGGGAATGTGAAACCTCATAATTCTAATTATTTATAATATATATATATATATTTTATATTAACTTATTATGTGTATCATATTTAATTATTTTTATTTTTATATATTTTATTTTATTTTTCATTACGTCATGTTGGCTTATGAAATAATTTTATTTCTCAAGTTCAAGTTGTTAGTTAATTATTTTTAAATCATATAATTATATATGATACCATTATATTATTTATTTATTTCAATTTTAAAATTTATTAAAATACATGAAAATATGTTAAGTGTAGTTGATGTGGATTAAATCACCATAACAATACAATACAATGATAGGCTGACCGATCGTATAGTGTGACCGGAAAGCTCTTAATTACAGTGTTTCTAATAGGTGAAAAGTCCTTTCTCAGGTAATAAATGAAGTATTTTTAGAGGGCCTAGGGAGCAGTGCCGGGTCTTCCGGCATGGCGGGCACGTGGCGTTCATGCACCGGGCCCTACGAAAGCAGGCATGCAGCCGAACACGTGGCTAGAAGCTTCTGCCAGCAGCAGGGTCCACAACTTGGTAGAGACGATCCGCGCATCACTCTAGCCACACCCCTAGCCCGGTCATACCTCCCGCTTACCGGTTTGGCCCCTGGACCAAGCAGGTACTGAATAGCTGACCGGGCCGTCGGGGTGGAGGCTGAAGCACCGCCGACCGGGCAAGAGGACTGATCAGGCGCGACCTCCGCAGTTCTGCCCGACCGTAGGCTGTCAGTATATGCGGAGTATATTCCCAATTAGTAATATAGGATCCCATTCAGGTGAAAACCCCCTTAAAATACAAACCTGTGGATAAACATGGGCCATTAGATTAGATTAGATTAATGGCTTAGATGTAAGTGGAATAACTTAAGCCAGGATCATGAAACGACATCCAAAAGGGCAATTAAGACAATTTAAGAGATTACTAATTAAGGTAGAAATATGATTATGATATGTAGCCTAATTTAAAGAAGATTAATTCGACTATGACTAATTCATCTCTGTTGCGCACGACAGCCGGACTCCAACACCAAACACCACTCCAACGACAACCACTACTCCACCGACAACCACCACTCCACCTCAAATCGCTGTTCAGACTAACGTCTACCACAACGCACCGACCCTGAACCCACACAGTAGAACATGGAGAATACGTCATCAACCCTTCCAGGTAATCATCCAACCTTCATTATGATAGATGTACAACAGAGCATGAGTTATTATTCAATAGTATGTGCACATAAGAGTAATCACAAACCCAAATCACCAACACGCAAGCAAAACTATAATGTCCGTAGGGGAAAAGTAGAATAATGACACGTACAAATACAGACAGACCCGTGCACACATAGAAGACACCATATTTCAATGAGATAAGGAAGAACAAAGACAGTCAGTACTGAAATACTGGAAAAAATGGACCAATGAACCCAGATGCACAATATATTAGGCTTGCATGCACAGTAGCTAAAACCCCATAAGCCTCAGTCATAGAAAACACAGAAATAGAGCATAGAAATACCTTGCACAACGTACTACCCAGCATGCACGGGTTGGAACCCCCATAAGGTTGTGACAAACCACATGCATAATAATACAATCTTAGGGCAGGGTTATTACGTAACAAAACTGAAATTGGACCAGTGCACCCAAATATAGTGTAGCATGCATACATCTAGAAACCAGCATACGGCAGTATCAAACACTCAGGGAAAAAGTTGTAGAGTACACACAGTTTGGCTTACGCACTAGAGCCAATTTAACCCCAAGCACACAAAAATTGTCTAGCATGCACACTTTTCAAAACTCAATACGTCTGACATATTAAAACAAAAACAAAACCAAACACCCGCCCACATTAATTGAACTTTCAGACTACAGCACATCAACCATAATCAACCAAACTAAATATGTGTATTCGTTGTGTGCAACAGGTGCATACCAAAATGAACACAGAGACTGCACAATGCAAATACAAGAAGATGGTGTGAAATACTGGACACCTACAACCCAAAACGAGAAGACACCATACGAAGGACAGCGATTTGAAACAATTGACATCGGGATTGATTTCTATCAAGCATACGCTAAGGAGGCAGGATTTGATGTTAGGCACGGCTCAAAGCGTAGAAACCGAATGGGTGAAGTGTCAATTAAATACATGCTATGCTCACGAGAGGGTTACAAGGCGGAAAGGAACGAAGCCACAAATACCGCGAACAAACGAAAGAGGCGGAGGAGAGTGTCAAATAGGATAGGATGTAAGACACGTATGGTAATGACAAAGTGTGACACTGGCGGATACAAAGTCCATGCAATGGAGCTATGCCATACACACTGTCTATGCTCGGATAAAGCCAAACCTTTTTTAAAGATAAATAGGCAGCTTGACATCGGCCATAAAACCTTTTTGGCTCACTGTGCAAAGGCAAACATAGGTCCCACAAAAGCTTTCAGACTCTTCAAACAGATGGTGGGAAGCTTTACGGATCTAGGAGCGACATGCATTGACTTTTGCAATTTTAGGCGAGACCTGTTGGCCTATATAGCTGAGGCAGACGCCCAAATGGTGATAGAAGACATGTTCAAAAGAAAACAAGAAAATCCGGACTTCTATTTCGATTATGACATTGACGAAGAAGCTCAATTATCCAGGATATTCTGGGCAGACGCAGAATCTCGAAGGAATTACGCATGTTTCGGCGATGTCATGTCATTCGACGCTACATACAGCACAAACAGGTACATGTCACTATAGATTGAATATGATGAGTACTGTGTGTGCTAGCCCGGTAAAACAGTTGTGCGCACGGAATAATGTAGTGATCTATGAATTTTTCTGCATTTGTGCGTGATGTATGAAACTCCTGTGCACAGTATATAAACGGCTATATGCAATATTAACTACCACCGTACTTACATTGCAGGTACAAGTTAGTCTTCGTCCCTTTCATGGGGGTGGATAATCACAAAAGAAGCATAACATTTGGGGCAGGCCTGATTGCGAAAGAAGATGTAGAGTCGTATGAGTGGCTACTAAAGAACTTCAAAACTGCAATGGAATACGCACCAAGATGTACTATAACTGACCAAGATCCAGCACTCAAGATAGTAGTACCACAAACTATGCCAACAACAAGGCACAGATTCTGTATGTGGCACATTACCACAAAAGTGGGGGAAAAGGTAGGGGCAACCCTGTGGCATAACGCGGACTTCAAAATGGCATTGAATAGTATCATATGGGATGAAACGTTAACCACAGATGAATTCGAGAGAAAATGGGAACAGGTAATGAAGGACTACAATCTAGAAGAACATAGGTGGTTTACCCAGTTGTACGAGGCACGTGCATCATGGATACCGGCATACTTCAACGACATACCGATGGGAGGACTGCTCAGAACAACATCAAGATCAGAATCAGAAAACAACTATTTCGGTAAATTCACAAACCACCACTGCAGCTTGGTAGAATTCATGGCACAATACAACAGTGCCATCGGAGAACAAAGACATAATCAAGCAAAGCTAATCGCAGAAAATGAAGGTTCATACCCGGAAACAAAAACCCCTTTGAGTATTGAGAAGAATGCTGCTACAGTGTACACTATAAACATATTTTACGAACTCCAAACAGAGATATGGGAAGCCAGTTTCACGAACCACATCATCCACAAACACAACGTAGGTGATATATGCAAGTACAAAGTTGAGGACACAGATGGAAAAATGTTTGAAGTAACAGAAACCCCACAAGCGGAGGAAATAGAGTGTGCGTGCAAGAAATTCAACCGTGTTGGTATACTATGCAGGCATGTGTTGTTGGTGATGAAGACAAGAGGGTATGAATCGATCCCACGCAAGTATATTGTTCCACGATGGACAAGAGATGCATGTGCACACCCATTACACAATGTTCTATGGGCAAGAAGAACGAATATTCCAACATCGAATGAAACAACAAAAGTTGCCAATCAACTATGGACTGAATTCTACAACTGCATGGGATTGGTGAATGGTTGGCCAGACAAAATGGACCAAATGTTGGCAACATTGCAACAACTGAAAAAATATCTAGAAAAGGAGAGGCAACAAACAGAAGATGGTGCCAACAACACATCTGTGCTCGAAAGACTAGTCGGATCAACCAAACCAGGAGATATCCAAATAAAACCACCCAAAGTTGCAAAGAACAAAGGAAGTGGGAAGCGACTAAAAAGCAACCGAGAGAAAGCCATGTCGAAGACACAAAAGAAGAAAGAAAGGACATGCAATACATGCGGCCTCCCAGGCCACAACAGTCGCACCTGTCCAGATAAACTTGCATCAGACGAAGTTTAGAATACATTTATTTTTTAAAAAAGTGAACAATGCAATCTAGTTTATTATTACGAACTGTACAAGATTATTTATATTCAGCAAGCATTTTATTAATAATACTTGGTTTAATTAATTAAAAAGGGGGGGTGGGGGGTGGGGGTGGGCCTTCATTTAAACTGAATAGTACTGGCATTACTATGGTTTTATGACCACGAAACCATTACTCATATTTATAACAATATTAAACATGCTAGGACGTGAGAACTAACAAAAAGACTGCATGAATTACCCAATGCACACATGAAAATATGTATGGGCACACGACGCAACACACTGACCCCAGCAAACGACTAGCCAAAGATATATCCCAGCCACGCACGCAACAACCCACCACGACGCACACCGCAACACCATACCATAACTGAAACCCCGGTGGCACGCACACAATAAACCACATCAGAGCAAACTAGCTCGACCCAAACCCAGCAGCAACGCCCCGTGAGGATGAGGCCAAAAGCCCAGAAAACAAGTAACCAAAAATATATTCATACACACGCACACAACACCCAACCTCGATGCACACCGCAACAAAAGATATATTCCACAAATATAGACTAAACAAACTACCAGACCACAGACCACAAACATACCAAACGAAAAAATAACAGTAAGCATAAATAAAAGCCATAATTGGCGCCCTAATAAAAACATCCAAAAATAGTATCGCCACAATATTCTGCACACATAAATACACGAAGGGGAGGCCACATGTTTACACATCCCAAACAATAAAACTGACCACAGTTAGCATTTATCGTGTGGATGACACACAGAAATCAAAAAACAAAAAACTAAATATCAAATATCACTACACGGCCGAAGGAGGAACCGATATTCATTGATACGCACGAGAAAGGTTGGTCGAACGATGCACATTATGCTCACAAAGGACGAGTTCCCTCATGTACCGCATCCTCAACTTGTGCAGAATCGTACTGTCCCCCTTAACTAGACCACAATCCCAATCAAGAACACGCTGCCCGAGAAACGTCTCCGTGTGTCGCATCATAAAAACCCCGCAATCAATCTGATTCTTGGAATTCCGCCAAGCCATCTACAAACGCTTAGATTCCAAACCAACAAAAGCAAAAGACATTCCAGGAGCAACAACTTTACAAAATGCCGATAGCATAACCTTCTGCAAACGAACATATCAAACATTAACTCAACATTCAAAGCAGAGACCAAGGAGGAAATGAAAATCAAACACAACAAAAGAGGGGAAAGTGTGCCACCATAGAAACACTAACCATCTCCTCAATACAATCGCCGTACTTCTGCGCCTTTACTTGGGGATTAGAGTCACTATCAATAATCTCATACCGACCGCGTTGGAAATCAAAGCACAACAAGAAATAGTGGCTACGGCGCAAAATGGGGAAAAATAACTGCACAAAGGACAACAAAAAACAAATCAGGTGATGGAGCTGTGCACAGAAAACAAAGCTCATGTGCACAAACTAGAATAGTGTGCACGTGTGGACGACATGATGTGCGCAGGCAAACTCATAACACAGCAGAAAAAAAAAAAAAGGAAAATACACAACACATATACCATGTCAACTTCAAAAATGTCTTTATACGGAGACAACATGAAGTCCATCCCCAACATGAAGATCATATAACCCTGAAATGAAAGATGTTTTGATATTTGCCAAGTGGTGTTCTTACAAGTAATTTCTTGTTGTATCTTTGCATTATTGTGTTCATATACATCTAGCATGCCTCATATGAGGAAGTCATTTTAGATTACAGTCCAAAACCCATGTCGGGAAGGGAAAAAACTGCTTGTTCTAGATATCGACTATACTATAATTGATCACAAGTCAGCAGCACAGAACCCATATCAACTCATGAGACCTTGTGAGTTACTTTTTGCTTAGATGTTTTTCTTGCTGCCTAACTTGGTGGTCATAATTGATATCTTATTGGTGAGCTGTCGTAGGTTCCCAAATTAAAACCTTACAAACGTAGTAGCGGGAGTAAGGATCGATCCCACGAGGAGTAACTAGTTTAACTTTTGTGCTCAAGGAAATAATGGGGGGTTTGGAATATATCGAGAATAAATATTAAATAAAAGAGAAATTAAATAAACGAGAAATTTAATCGAACGAATAAACAGTGAAAATTATATATTGAAAGTACTTATAATAGAAAACCTTGGTTAGTAAAGATCCACCACCGGAGTTTAACACTGATCATTGATTCATAAAGTAATTAATAAGCAATTAAATATTTGTCGTGAAATTATTTCATTTCTGTTTTCCCTTAGTTGAAGGTAACTAAAGCACAAGCGGTTTAATTACCCCTAACTACTAAATAACCTAAGACAAGCGCTATAGATTTAATTTAATAGCAGCAATAGGAACTAGGAAAACCGACAAACTAAATAACACAAGCACAAGCGGTTGCATTTAATTTAGGAAAATATTCTACCCGAGACCAATTATCACTAAGCCGTCAATAATTAACCTCAGTTGCTACTGAATATTAGAATAATTTGTAGCACAACATTATCTAATATAGCAAATAATTATATCAATTATATAACTAGTAGGCCTCCCTAGCAATTAAATTGATACAACTATTCAAATAATTTAGAAGAATATTTAATACTCAAATGCATAAAAATATATATAATAAAAATAAATAAATAACCTTACAGCGTAATGAACTCCGGGGCTTCAAATCACTAAACCAAACTAGAAATTAGCCGCGAATGGACATTGATAACAACCTTAAAGAATATTCGAGAGGGGAAGAATGAACATTTTACAATAGGAAACTCTTGCTATTTATAGCATTCTAAAAATAGGTCAAATGAACGTCCACCGCCCATTTCCTCCGTTTGCGATGTTTGAAGAGTTCTCCGCTGCGCAAGAATCGGCCGATGAAGACATTTTCATTGCTTTCGTACGTGAGCTGCGCATGGGGAAACAAAAGAGAATTTTATTTGTTTGCTTTCTTTTATGTTAGTAATTGAACCAACAACACTTAAAATAATATTAAATAAAAGTAAAGACTTTACTAAAAGCTTTAGGTTTCAAAACATAACTTTATAACTAAATATTATTATAAAACACTTATTTAACTAATTAATTATTAAATTCTAAAAAGAAATAATTATTATATAATAGTAAATAATTAATGCAAAATAATTATAAAGATGTATATAAAATAAGAGTGTAAAATATGTCTATCACTTATCACATGCAGATCTGCATGAATTTCTCTTGGCTGTCTATGCAGAGTATGATATCATCATCTGGTCTAAAACCAGGTCAGAATTTCGTCCCTGGTCATTGCAATTATGATGATATATTCACCATTGAATGGTTTGCTAAAAAGATGATATATTGCCTATGCTTCCTAAAATGATGTATTAGGCCATATGTACAGAAGATAAAGATCATATGCACTGCACTCTGCACTCATCATTTCTATTTTTAAAAACCAATAATTAATGAATAAAACTAGTGGTAATTCCTACACCAAAATATAAGAACAGAGACAAGCCCTAAATTCGGCTAATCAAAAAAACAGCCCGCCACCGCTGCAAACAACCACCTCAGAAACGCCACCAATGCTACCAAACCAGCAACCCCCCCCCCCCCCCCCCCCACCCAACAACACAAAACAACACAAAAAGCACCAAACAGAGAAAATCCCTAAATTCGGCTACCCGTAAAAACACCCCCCACCGCCGCAAACAACCACCTCAGAAATCGTACCAAACCAGCACCCCCCACCCAACAACACAAAACAACACAAAAAGGATAGAAAAACAAGAATACCGAATAGAAAAACGGGGAAAAAAAAAAAAGGGAACAAGAAATCGTACCTCTACCGACAGCTCCGACCGGTGGTCCCCCCCTCTTCAGCGAAACGCGGTCCCCACCCACTACTATGGCTACGTGAAACAGAAAATGGAATGAGACGAAGCTGCGAAGAAGACGCGACAAAGAGAAGTTTCCACCCCACGGAGAGAGAGAGAGAAAGCGACGCGGAGAGCTTGAGGAAACGTAACCTAGCGCGTGAATGTGGACAACTCTGACTAGGACACACCAATAAACAAAATACCAAATAAACCCCCCCTTCCCATAAAAACAAATGCACTTAACGTAAAAACCCACAGCCACACGCTAGAATCACCACCGTCCGATCAACACATCCAACGGCCCAAACAAGTCCACAGGTTTGTATTTTAAGAAGTGTTTTCACCTGAATGAGATTCTAGTAATATATATATATATATATATATATATATATATATATATATATATATATATATATATATATATATATATATATATATATATATATATATATATATATATATATATAGGAATGCACTCAGGTGCGAATAAGTGCCCAGGAAGGAATATACGAATGAATCAGCGCGCGACACGTGTCCAGATCTAATAGCTTAAAAAAACGTGGTGGCATTTTCGTAAATAATTGAACATCGAAGTGCAAGTAAAATCACTTACAAGTGCACCTACTTTCACCTATAAGTGCATGTAATTTTGCCTTTTTAGCATTCACTTCCCTCAAACATTCATGCACCTGGGTGTGTTTATAACTATAGGTGCAACTATTTATAACTATAGGTGCAACTACTTATAACTATAGGTGCACCTTCTTTCACCTATAAGTGCATGTAAATTTGCCTTGTTAACATTCATTGATCTGAGTTCAGCGGGTAGTAATACCCCTGAAAACCACCCGCAAACATTCATGCACCTAGGTGCAACTACTTATAACTATGCGTGCAACTACTTATAACTATAGGTGCACTTTGTATTGATGCTCAGTGTAAATTTTTACTTGCACCTATAATACATTTTACATGCACTTGTAATACATTTTACTTGCACTTCGATGTTCAATTATTTACGAAAATTCCACCGGGCTTTTTAAAAAAATCAGTGTTTCTCATTCATTAGATCTGGACACGTGGA